TGCATCCCCCGTTCAACTTGCGACCTCTCAGATTTAGATGCCCTGTTCATAGAGGAGGAGGTTCGCGGTGCAATCTATGACCTCCCTAACGATAAGGCCCCGGGTCCGGATGGCTTCACTGGGGCTTTCTTCAAGGAATGATGGGACATTGTCAAACCTGAAATTATGCAAGTGATCAACAATTTCTCTGCCCTTCGCGTCTCCAACCTTCATTGGTTCAACTCCGCTAACATTGCTCTCATTCCCAAAAAAGATGGGGCAGAGGACATATCAGACTTTAGGCCCATAAGTCTTATTCATACTGTTGCAAAGATCATTGCTAAGATGATGGCCACCCGCCTTGCTCTTCACATGCCCAACCTCGTTTCCAATACTCAAAATTGCTTTTATCAAGAAACGAAGTATCCATGATAACTTTATGTATGTCCACAACTTGGCTCGACGGTTGCACCGTAGCAAAACATCGTCCTTGCTCTTCAAGCTTGACATCAAGAAAGCCTTCGACTCTGTGAGATGGGATTATTTGATGGAGTTGCTTCGTCACCACCAGTTTCCGAACCGGTTTCGAGATTGGGTCTCCGCCATCCTATCCACGGCCTCATCTAGAGTTTTGCTAAATGGTGTTGCTGGCGATCCAATTAAGCATGGTTGCGGTCTTCAACAAGGGGATCCTCTCTCCCCTCTTCTCTTTGTCCTCACTATTGATCCGCTCCACCACATCCTCGCCAAGGCTACCAAGCAAAGCTTGTTGCATCCTCTTCATGGTCGGCCCATCCGTGCATCCTTGTATGTGGATGATGCTGCTATCTTTGTGGCGCCTATCAAGGATGATATTCACTACTTGGCTTCAACTTTGAGCTCCTTTGGGGAGGTTACTGGCCTGGTCACCAACTGCGCCAAAAGCCTTGTGGTGCCCATTCGTTGTGGCAACATCGACCTTGACAACATTCTACAGGCCTTCCCGGCAGTTCGTACTACTTTCCCCATGTGATATCTTGGTCTTCCGTTGTCGGTCACAAGACTAAAGCGCATCCACTTTCAGTATTTGGAGGACAAGGTGGCAGGCAAGCTTCCGCCTTGGTCGGCGATGCATGTGGCTACGCCAGGGCGCATTATTTTGGTCAAGGCCGTGCTTACTGCCATTGCCATTTACCACCTCACGCCTCTAGATCTTCCAGTTGAAGTGATGAAGAAGATCGATAGCCTGCGACGTGCCTACCTTTGGGCGGGCTGGGGATAAGGTGACCGGAGGAAAGTGTAAGGTTAATTGGGATCTCGTCTGCAAGCCCAAGATTTATGGTGGATTGGGAGTGCTCAACCTCCAAAAATTTGCAACCGCCCAGCGCTTGCGTTGGCTCTGGCACGAATGGGATGAACCACCTAAGACTTGGTCTGGCTCTAGAACACCTTGCACTAGCAATGATAAAGATCTCTTCGCGGCTGCTACACGGGTGTGCATTGGAGATGGAAACAAAGCTAAGTTTTGGGAATCTCCATGGTTGGACGGCCTCCGGCCTAAAGATATTGCGCCAAAGATTTTTGAGCTATCAAAAAAGAAAATGTGCTTGGTCAGGAAAGCTCTTGACAACAACCTTTGGGTCCGCCAAATTGACACTCGGCATTGGCTAACCTTAGACCATATTCAACAATTTGCAACACTTTGGGAGATGCTTGCGGATGTAAACCTCAACCAGGGTAGCCAAGATGCAATATCTTGGAAGTTCACCAACAGTGGCGGGTACTCCGCCTCCTCGGCTTACATGGTGCAGTTTGTTGGTCTTTCATTTTGCCCAATGAATTCTACAATCTGGAAGATGTGGGCTCCTTCAAAGTGCAATTTTTTTGCTTGGTTGATCTTCCAAAATCGTGTTTGGACAGCCGATCGTTTGGTGTGCCGAGGTTGGCCAAACTGTAATTTGTGCCCTCTCTGCAAGCAAGTGCAATAATCTGCTGCTCACCTCCTATTCCAATGTAGGTTCACTGTCCGGATTTGGACTAAAATTTGCACTTGCCTTGGCATTCTTGACTCCTCACCAATGATTTGGCGTCATGAAGACTCAGTTAAAGATTGGTGGCTTAAGGCGGTTAGTGGGGGAGGGGACCACAGGAAGGCCACCGCCTCCTTGATGATGCTTGTCTCATGAGAAATTTGGAAGGAGCGCAGCGCAAGAATTTTTCAGAATGTCTCCGCTCCGACCGCTATTGTTATCGCGAAAATCAAAGAGGAGGCTTATCTTTGGACTTTGGCAGGAGCGAAGCAGCTTAGTATTGTTATGTCGCGAGAGTAGACCTTTTCGTTTTTGCCGCCCCGCGGCTTATGTCTAAACCTTCTTCTTAATCAATGAAAATGCAAGTCTTTTGCCTTGTTTAAAAAAAACAAGACTGCAACCTGATCAATTTCGAACGTACACGCATTTCACCATCGGCCAGTGTGGCAGTGCAGACGACGTACGTAGGGTTTGCAGCTGCAGCTGGCTGGGACCTGACGGATCATTACGAAGGGAGGCCATTGTCCTTTCCTCTGTCGCGCTTCGTGTCGCCTTGCGGTCAGCGGCCGTGCGCCCATGCCCTGCACTGGACGAAGCAGAATAAATGATTCTGCTTGTGCCAATCCATTCGTGGATAAGGTCTTTTCATCGGACAATCACCCCGATCGTGAACGAAAATATAGCAGAGAACAGCATACAGGTGATGAACGTACGAGGAGGCAATATATTACACACGAAATGATCGTGATCACGATTACAACAACTGGGAGTAAATGACAGAGACGAATTACACTTATTGACATCGGTTTATACAGGCCTCATCTTCCCTATCTCCGACCGTCTTCCTCCGGCGATCGACAGGCATGGATTACATGGAGCACTCGGCAGGGACGCCCTGGGCGAAGCGCTTGGGGTCGGTGCAGTAGTTGTAGATCATGTAGTTGCTCTGCACCCACCGCATCCGCTGCTGCCGCGTCAGGTCCAGCTCCTGGTTGTACCACTCGCCAGCCGCGCCGGTGCCAGGGGCGACCTCCGTGCCGACGCTGGCGCCGCAGTGCGGCTTGCCGCCCGCGGTCACCACGCACGCGTCGGCCTTGAAGCCGCGGTACGAGGCGGAGAACGGGGCATGGGACCAGTCCGTCTTGACGCGGCCGCCCTGCGTGGCCCAGTCGTCGGCGTTCCAGAGGCTGGAGTAGAGGCGCATCGGCTGGTTCTTGGGGAATGCGATGCCCTTTCCCTCCAGGTTCCTGAAGTCTCTGATCGGCATGTCGTCCACCATGAAGCTGCATTTACAACTAAATCAGTCACTGAACTTCTTGTTGGTGGTAATGGCGATTAATAAACTTACATGATGTGCTTGGGGTTCCAGAGGATGGAGTAGGTGTGGAAGTCGTTGGTGGGATCGAACCAAAGGCGGAACTGCTGCTCCCGTTGGCCCTGCCCCTGCGTGAACACGTTGGTGTGCAGCGTGTACGGCTCGCCGGTGACGTTGCCCAGGAACTCGAAGTCGATCTCGTCGTGCGTCGGCCCCTGCGACGACAGCTGCACATTCATACACGCCAAACCGAACGAAGTTAGGCAACCGTGTCATCCGATCAAGACCGAAAAGCAGAGGAAAGAATGAATGCCGGCGTACGTAGTAGGCCGTGACGGTGCCGGCGGAGTTGCCGGGGACGAGCTTGAGCTGCATGTCGATCTTGCCGTAGAGGTACTCGTGCTTGGACTGGAACCCGGAGCCGGAGACCTTATCGAGCCCCAGCGTGAGGAGCTGGCCGTTGTCGAGGATCTTGCCGCGCCCGTCACCCCAGGTGACGTCGAACTCCTTGTCGAAGCTCGCCGCCGCCAGGGCACAAGAGGCGAGCAGGATGGCCAGCACCGACACCGCCATGCGTTGCGGGCTCGATGCTCCCAAAAGTAAGCTCACCCAACTAGAGCTAGCTAGGAAGAACAAGTGCTAGAAGATGAAGATGAGGAGAAAGCTTGATGGAAGCTTGTGTTGTGTGAGTGGAATGAGCAGGGCGTGAGGGCGTTTATATAGTGGTTTGGAGATAAGCGTGGCGTGCCGGATGGATGGATGGTTCGGCGAATCGGAGAGGAGTTCGCCAGCTCGGGTGTATTTGCGTGTGAGTTGGCGCCAGAGGAGAGGAGACAGGGCAGGACGGTACTGTGGCGAGTGAGTAGCGAACAATTTTCTGATGGAAAATGAGACGCCTGACTGCCCCGACATGGCCACGCCAGAGGCTCTCACCTACAGCAAGACGACGTTAAGCATCGATCGAGACGTATAGCAGATTTCAGGAGGCAAGGCAACAGCTTTTGATTTTATTATATGATTATTTGAGATGATTTTGTGCTTTGTACCCAAATGGCAGTACAAAACATACATGATGCATGAACAAGAATTAGTCAGGGATGGATGGACGACCTATTATTTGCGACAATCTTTTTCATCTCGAAGCGTGTGATGATTCCTGGTATGTTAGATAGGTTGAGACAACACAAAATGGATAGAACTCTCTCATGTCTCAGAGCTATCGTTGCTATTATTTGGGATTGGCAATCGATGCCCTTTGCAAAGATGTGAAGCATGAACTAAAACTAATGCAGCAACAATGGTCCAAAATTATGTGTACAAAGAGAAAAAAAATTAAATTGAACTTAATATGACGCAATCATTAACAAAGATGTGAAGGATGAACTATATTCTTTTTCCTCGTAGCATCCAACACATATACAACCCATAAGATGCTAAATTATTTTTTATGAATTCTTAAAGTTTGCCATCTTTTCAAACAAAAAAACTCTCTAACTTCGCCATATGCCAATTACAAAATTCCAAAGTTGCGTTGATTGTTTTAGAGAATTCTTTTCCTAAATTTGCCATATTTTTTAAATAACAAACTTATTTAATTTGCCATGTGTAAATTTTATTTCTCGTTAGCATGGAAATTTTATAATGTTGATCATGGTTATTTTATTATTTTCTATCATGGCAATTTTATGTTATGACAAAGAAAATGTAAAATATGACCATTTTATTATTAAGAGCGCATCAATTTTATTTTTAATGTCATTGAAATTTAATTATTTCCATAATGGGCACTTTTTTCTTTGTCTTTTATAAAAAAATCAATTTTTGCATCATTATAATTGAATAAACTAAAAACGTTGTTGCCATGGCAACAGAGTTTTTTTTTGTCCTGGCAAATTAATTATACAACCACGACAAAGTTAAAATACATTTGTGTAATGTCATGGTAAGTCATGGTAAAAAAATTACATAGTGGTAAATTACTTGAACATACCGTGGCAATTTTGTGGAACATACCATGAAAAGTTCTTTTCATAATTTTATTATTTGAATATTTTTGCAATGGTGAATTATTTTTAACTTTTTTTGGCATGCTAAAATTGCCATGTGTTCATTAGATACAAAATTTGCCATGGCAAACTTCATTTATAAGTTTTTCCACGGTATGTTCAAATAAATTTGGTAAAACAAACATGTGACCTTGAGATGGATTATTCATATTTGCCATGTTTCTACAGGATATTTTTCATTAAATTTTGCCATGCAACTACTGTTTTCTAAGCCCCTCGGCTTTGATTTTTTTTAGGACATGAAAATTATCTTATTTTTTGACATGTAGTGCGAACCTTTTTTAAATGTTGCCGTGTTTCCTAGAGGTGGAAATTTGTTGTCTATAAGATTGATATTTTTTAATCCTGTCTATTTTACCTACATCATGGCAAAACCTTTCTTTTTTATATCGCTCATTTTTGTTCGCGGGAGGGGCTTTCTCGTAGCGAACCATTCGTTTGCTCTAGTCCCCTCTATTGGTATTGCCTTCTCTTTTTTAGGTCAGGTCATGCCCATTGTTGAATCTTTATGGTGCGGGGGAGACTAGTATAGAATCTCACATTAGGTGAGATCAATATTTTTTTTCATATTGTGACATTTTGAAAAATTCTGAAATTATTTAACAACATACTTGAGGGTATATCTACAACTCAGAAAAAAAAAATCATCTCAAGACTTGATGTACATTTAGAAATTCAAAAAGGAAAAATTCGAATGTGAATAGTGCTTGACTTAGGAATGTGAATAGCGATTGCTTTGGGTGAATGTTAATTTGACACTATTCACTAATTTGATACTATTCACATCCAATTTTGTCTTTTTTGTTTCTATTACTATAGGTCGAATTAGAAGCTGTAACTTTTTAAGGTTGTATGAAACATTGATGTGTGTCTGTAATTTTTTGCTATGAAACATTGATCTCACCTAATGTGAGATCCTATACTATTCTTCCCCGTGTGGTGCTTAAAACATAACATAACTGGACGATCAAATCAGCTTTCAGATAAAATGAGACAGAGATTTCGCAATATAAGGACATCTCCAACGCTGACCCCATCCACATACATCCAACCCTAATTTTTTTATAGGTCTGCATGTTCAAATCGCCGCATATATAGACTAAAGTAGTTTTAAAATGTTTAAATGCAGCAGTAATTCAAATCTAAAAAAATCAAATATTATACTTCAACATTGTTATCCCCTTAACTGCCCACAAATGCTCAATCAGATCCTCCTACAATTCCTCGTGAGTTGTTCGATGCTGAATTTGTTGATGCATCTGAACAAATCTAACCATGGCATTTCCGCATGTGCTCTCGGACATACGTAGGTACTCATCCCACGAATTAGCGGTCGTGCCATATGCAAGCATCCGTAGTGCGGCCGTGCACTTCTGATTACCAAGAAACACAATCCTTCCAAGTCATCAATGGACCGTGTGCCAGGTAGAGACGATAGAAGATATTTTGGCGCACCCGAATGCGGCAACAAAAATTGTCAGTGAAGACGGCATCAAGGGCAAAGTAGTCATCCATTAGCGTCCAATGTCGCGCGTCTAGTTGTAATTGAGCACTCGATGACCACTGATCGATTCCTTGAAATTCAGAACATGCTCCTCCGCATGCCCCGCTTCTGCAAGCACCGCATGCATCATCGTTGTCTCATTTGTGTAGTCCTCCTCGTCGGACGACTCAACATAGTACTCGTATATGTACTTCGTATTTGAATTCATTACTTCAAAGAAGAAGGGACAAAAATATTTAGCTCGAGCAATTCACGAACAGTTGTCGGGCATGGTGAGCATCGTAGGAGCAGGTACCTGTGTGGCAGTCGAAGTAGAGGTGTGGAATGCCGAGAAAGGAGAAGTTGCATGGAGCCCAAGTGTACCATTGGAGGTGAGACAGACCCGTCAAGTTCCGACATGGGTGCGGCGTGATGGCCGGGGTGGTGGAGCGGCAACGAACACAAAAAAGAAAGACTAAAGGACATAAAATGGGAGGATGGACGTGCAGGGCCAAGGAGCGATTTTGGTTTGGCCGGGTTTGTTAGAGTCCTACACGGCTGCTTCCCGGACTCCCGCAAAGCCCCCTCCCTATTTGTCTCGTGTTTGCCAAAAAAGTATGTCCGGACCGTTCAACGGACATATATAGGCCAATGTTGGATGGCTCAACAAGTCTGAACCATGCAGTCCGGATGATTGTGGGTGGTTTAAGAATCCGCTTTAAAGATGCCCTAAACACACAACGAAATGCAATGATTAGACTGGACTACGATCTGAAGCAAAGGGAAAAGCCCTCTATCTAGAAATACTTGTCGGATAAAAGAAATTATCAAGACATATTTTAGTTCGACACACCACTTTTCAAAAATCGAAATAGGTTTGTCTTCCACACTTCTGCCACTCCGCAGCAGTTATAATCTTGCAGTAGTTGCACACTCCTGATAACGACGGTGGATGCGGTAAATACTAATATTGTCCGAGAGGAGCGAAAAACGTGCGATAAGAGCAACTCCAACAGACCGATCTAAATAGACGGCATTTGTGTCTGCTTTTTGTCCGTTTGAGTCGATCGCCCGCCCGCCGTCCGCTCTCTTTTATATTTGGATCAGCAGTGCGTCCAACGGACCGACCCATTTCATGACTGCGCGCGGTTTAGATCATGCCAGCGGTTATGCCGTCGTCCTGGTTTTGGCGCTCCAGCGCGCGGGAAAGGTTCGCGCGGGGGAAAAGCGGCCTAGCGCGCACTGGTTTTGGCGCTCCAGCGTGCATGAATGGTTTGCGCGCGCGTCGCGGCCGCGCTCGTTATAAGAAGGCGCTCCCTCCACACTCTGTCTGCCGCCCACTCGTCTCGCCCCCTCTCATAGTCTCGCCGCCTCTGCGCCACCATGTCGATGCGTCGCCTGGGCGCTTCAGATTTATGCGGAGTCCGCGAGCGCCGCTCCGACGCCTTCTCCTCCGAGATCTGGTTTGGCGAGAAACGCCTCATCATCGGCACCTTCGACACCGCAGAGGAGGCGGCCCGCGCGGACGACGCGGCGGCTTGGCGCCTCTTGAGGCCTCGGCGGGATATGAATTTTCCCTACATGTCGAGTCAGCGGGCGCAGGATCTCGCGCCTCTCCCGCGGCTTTTCGCCGACGAGGATCCACCGGAGGCGGCAGCGTCGCCTCGCCATCGCCGAGATGGACGCGGAAGCCATGGTGGTGTAGCGTAAACGTTTTCCGCAGGACATCATCGACGAGCGCCAGTTCTATAAGCAAAGGAGGACGAAGAGGGACGCGAGGAGGACGAAGCGAGCCGTCTATCGGAAGGACAAGCGTTCGCGGAAGCAGGCCGCTCAATTGAAACTAAAGCTACGAGAAGCGTCGAGTTGGCACTTCGAAGACGAGCATCATGTTGACGCCTACATTTAGACGTCGGAGGAGGACATTACCGAGTCTGAGTCGGAAAGCGACGAGTAGTTGGTTTTTTTTATCTGTGTACGCTAGACCTATCTATGTATCCATTCTTATCGGAAAAAATGGCCGCCGTCGTCGACGACGAAGTAGGTGGGCGAGGGTGTGTTGTTTGATGTGGAGAGGCCAATGTGCCACCGACCAGCAGGCCCGATGAAATAACAGGACGAGCGCGCGCGTTCGTATTGTGTCCGCGCCGACGCAAATTCGGCTTAAAAATGGATCCGGAATGAGTCGGCAGACAGACGAAAGCAGACGCGCGTCCGTTCGGACCGGCGCGTTGGCCCGACTTTTTTGTCCATACCGATCCAAACGGACGACGGCGGACGGGATGAGTCGCCTCGTTGGAGTTGCTCTAATTGACAGTTTTTCGAACCAAACGATTAGACGAGTCGAAAATGCAAAGATGCAGGAGTGGGATCGAAGGAGCAAGCCGACATGAGCGTCGCAGAGTCAAGAACCGAGCAGTGCACAGGAAACAGACGTTGACACGTGTTTTTTTGCACTCGCCATGATTACGTACAGCTGGTTGCCATTCGCCAACCGGGTGCACGCACATCGCCGTATGCCGACGCGCGTCGCCTTCCGCCTGCTCCCCGGCCCACGGCCGTGCGCAGACGGCAGACGAAGGGCCAATCACACGATTCCCGTGCGTGCTCCGCGCCACCGAGCAGGTAACCTAGCCATGGTCACCGGCTCACCGCTGCTCCGCTGAAAATACAGTACGTACACGCGCGGTTACGGGCTCCACAGCACTGGACCGTGTTGCATTATGCATGGCCTGTGCCTGTGCGTAGTGTGTGTAGGTCCGTCTGGTCGACGATAGGGCCATGAACGCCACGCATGAATGTCGCACCTGCCAAATAACAATCATATCGATGCCACACATGACTGAGTACAGCTGGTGCGAGGGACATGATATGAATTTCTTAGGGCAGATGACGGGGGACGATATTTTTATGACCCTTGCCCCCGGATCCATGGAATTTGGCCTTGGATCGAAAGCTCCTTCTCATTGTCCTATAGGCTATAGTGCGTGTGCATGCAGACGAGACGGTCGCCCGGTCCAGCTGGAGGCTCCCGCAGGCCGTCACCGGAGACGAGACGGATCTGGCGTCGACGGGGACACCACTGGACCAGACGAGATAGCCAGGTACGTACGTGGCAGCCTACCGACCTAAAGATCGGCAGATATGCAGCAGTTTCGCAGCTACGCGTTGGCCCTGGGCTGGGCAAGCAGTCACGACATGCAGCTCGGTAGCCCACACGCATGCACATATCCTACTCATTCAGTCAGGGCCCATGTATAGGTCGAACTCCTTGTAGTTGTTGTAGGGTCGTACGAGTTGATCGCGTGATGCCTGTTCAAGCTTCCTATAATTCCCTTCCTTAAAAGAAGTATCCTAATTCACATCTATTTTTAAAAGAGTTTCCCTAATTTCATTCTCAGATCAGATCGAGGCTTAAAGTCTTCGAGTATCCCAGCCGCGATTGCGAGCTCTAAACGGAGTTGCCGTTTCATGGCTGAATTCCGCTCTTCCATCTCTAGTGCTCTACTCCACCAACACCATCACGGGAATCACCCAGCAGGCCAACACACACGTGATCATCACATAGCCAAGCGCTTGCTCCAGACGCATATACATGCCGCGTCAATGCCGAGCACCCGATCAGACAATTATCGACAACGATTCAACCGATCTAAGGTAATATCATATTCATGATTTTTTATGGCGGGCGACATGGCCAAGATTGCAGCGCAATCCTGCATGAAAATTTCTCCGCGATTGACATTTAGGCCAAGATCACGGGAGATCGTGCTGATTTAGGGTAAAATTTTGTTGTAAATTTGGTCGTGCTGATTTAGGCTAAAATTTTGTTGTAAATTTGGTTGCTGCGTTTTCCTTTCTCTGACGATTTTAATCATTGGTCAAACTATCATTCATTATTCCTTATACGTTAATAGATAATTAAGTAATTATCTTTATCAACATGATGCATTGTTTGTTTGTCATACTCCTACGTTTCTAAATATAAATCTTTTGCGATTTTAATCCGGACTACATACTTATGTATATAGAAATATTTTAGAGTGTAGATTCACTCATTTTGCTTCATATGTAGTCTCTATTTGAATCTCTAAAAGGACTTTTATTTAGGAAAGGAGGGAGTACTTTTGATGCAAAATTTCTTTATTTCAACATTGTGTGTATAAACAATTTCATATCAATACTGATTTCGGAATTATTATTAATTTTTTTGGAAAATTTACTGTAATGTTTGTTGGTAATATATATATACGCTTGTATCTACTATAATTGCTATGATGATCATATCAATAGGCCTATAGACCCGTCGAAACAATATATATTAAGGGCTCCTTAGTTTTAGTTTCGCCTCGGGCCCCCAAAATCTCAGGACCGGCCCTGACTGTGCTGTGCGTGGCTGGCAAGCGCCGGCCAGCCTCCGGGAGGTGCAGGTGCGCCCCCGGTCACGGGGACACATGGCGGGGGCGATAAGCATTGCAGGGAGCCGTACCCCGCGTGTGGCGACGCAGCGGCACAGCTGGAGAGCAGCGCGCGCACGGCTGGTCCCAGGAGCGAAGGGAGATTGAGGTGTGACGCCCGGGTAATTAAGCTACACTACCCACACCCTAATATACCATGTCATCATGTTTTATTAAGCCAAATTGCCACTTGAGGAAATCGGAGTCAAATTCAAATTTCAAACAACAAGTCAAATTCTTATTTCTTCAAACTATAAAATAAAAATGTTCGATGGGTTGCAAATATTCACTAAGTAATTACCATGTACGAACTAAAATTAAATGGATTTTTAAATTTCCCCTAGAAATAATTAAAGTGAACAAGCATCCCTTATTATGCCCATTAAAATATGAACTTAATTTCAAACATTTCCAAATAACTACAAACTTTTTGGACAACACCCAAAATATTAGGAGGTAATTATGTGAGGAGTTTCAACTTTAACTAAAATCATTTAGTACCTAAACTAAATACAAAACAGCAGATAAAAAAAGAAAAACAATAAACAAAAAGAAGTGAAAACATAATACCTAATCTACTGGGCACTTGGCCCATCTAGCAAAATGAGCAGGCCCAGCCCGACTCACATCCCTCCTTCAACCTCCTGTTCACGGGAGGCTTGGTGGACGCCTGTGCGACGTTCGTGCCTCGGATCAGCCACACGCCGGCCATCCGCCGACTCCTCTCGCTGGTTAAGACCGTCCTCGACGCCCCCGGCAACCCTAGACGCCCCACTCTCCCCCTCTCACCCCAGATCCACCTTCCTGCACACTCTCGAACGCCCCCGTCGACATGGATCCGTTGTACGCATAGGCACCGTCGTCCTCACACCTAGCCGTCGTGTCCAGCCGCTCCGCAGTGCTCTACTACGCCCTCTACGCCAACGAATTCAACCCGGGAGCCATCACCACGTCGGGATCGAGTCGTTTTCCTCCTCTGCATCGCCGTCACCGTCGCTGGAAGCCGCCGTCATCGAGCCCTCCCCGAGCCCGCTGTGCACCTCTACAGGGCCCCTGTGAGCTCCTCATTCCTTCCTGTCCCCCCATTTTCCCCATCGGGTCCACCGTCGTAGCATCGTCGTGTCGCCCTATGCATCGGCCGCCATGGACGGGAGCTCGGCTCCCTCACCGCGCGCCCCTGGTCGCGTCCCTACGCTGCCTGCTTGTGCACGCGCCGCGCCCTGGCCTCACTGTCGCGCACCCGCGCCGGCCATGCCCGCGCCTACGGCCGCGCTCGCCGGATCCACGTCCTGCTGCTGCTCTGGCCGCCCCCGTTCGCCTAGCCTCGGGTCACCGCTTGCTGACGCTGCTCGTCCTGCCGCTGTCACCGCCGCCCTCTGATGCACTACACGGCTGCCGCTCCTGCATACTGGTTGCTGCCCCTCACGCTGCCCGCATGCGCCGCGCGCACCCGATGCTACCTGCTTGCTGTTGCTGCGGCTGCTTACCGCTGCTCCTGCCAAACTGCTGCTCTTGCTGCATCGCCGCTCCGAGCGTCGCTGCTTGCCGTAATGCTGCTGCTACTAGTGCAACGCTGCTATAGTAACATTCAGTTACTGTAGCGGCTAGCTAGCTTTTATAAATCTACAACGACTAACCCTCTAGATAGCCCCTAAACATTGGTTAAACAACTGTTAAAAAAGCTAAAGAAAATATGACTAGAAAGTATGCTTGACAAGCTCCAAGTTACTCCATTGAACCAAATTCAAACACGGCATGGATTAATTCCTATAAAAATGACAAAAGTCTATGTTCTGTTAAGAGAGAGAACTGAAAAACAGATTTACTGTCTTAACTACTTCAGAGCTGTAAATGGACCTGTTAGAGGAGCTGTTCAGGCCGTCTAATGGCATGGCCTTGTAGTACTGTTGATGTAGAGTAAAACACTTATATGTAGTGTCTTCATTAGAACTACATAACAGTAGTTATAGCCTTCGGAAAACAGCCAAGTGGAGTTTGAAAAAAAACCTGAACAATCCTCAGACTTAACCAATTTTCAGGAATTTCATAATATTGTTTAAACTTCGAAAAATCATAGAAAATAAACCATAGCTCGGATGAAAGAACTTTATACATGGAAGTTGCTCAGAACGACGAGACGGATCCGGTTACGTAGCCCGTTCATCCGCCACACATCCCTAATATATCGAACTCGTCCCCCTCCGGTTCATCTGTCCGAAAACGCAAAACACCGGGGAT